GCTTTTTGCTCACGAAGAAGTATATTAAACTCCTAAATAACCTTCGCCCCACCCCGCGCTCCCCATAATTTTTCCCTACAAACCCAGGCGGAATCGAGTCTGCCATTTACAAACTTTCATCAGCACTGATCTGTGTTCCCATTTCTTTCGCGTCTCTTTTTCCAAAAAACACAGCACAAAATGTATATTCTCAAGCTCGGTCACTCTCTCAGGTTCGTGAACTACTATATCTTGGAAACCCGGATTGCAGCCATTACCCTAAACTACTTTTATAGCCTGCTTAGGGAAAGGTAGTATGAGGAACAGAAAATAAGTCATGGCAGCGGGGCAGGGTGGAGACATGAAGAGAAGGCGGGGGAGCAGCTGAAAAAGAGGGAATAATTTCCTCACAAAATACGGCACTCGACGCGACGACGAAGGGGTGACTTGGTTGCATAATTCACTAATCGAGCAACGAACAGAACGGCATCCTTTCTAATGGAATATAACTTTTCTTTTTCTTTTCTTTCTGATGGAATGCAACTTTTGCACTTTGATGGTTTATGTTCATTTGCTTCCGTTGTTTGTAACTTATGATTCTTTTATTATCATAATTATTTTAATTGTGGTGAAAGTTAATAATTCAACCTCAGCTGATCAAATTTCATGTAAGTCGTGCGCATTCCGATCTTCAACGTATAATTCCAGACTGTGACAAAATCAGACAACGTGGGATACAAACAAAACAGAGGTAATTCTACCGTTTAGTTTTTGAAGAAATAAAAACCTTGAAATTGGATAAAGCATCAGTAGTAAACGAAGGAAATACCGACCTGAATTACGGCCGTACGAATCGCAGAAAAACCACCGACAAGTCAAAGGCATGGCGTCCGCAAATGAAGTGATTATCGCTTTGTCAATGGTTTGCTTCTTTCGTACTGTTCACGCTGCACCAAATGCAACAAACTTTGAGTCATCGAGCCTTCCGTATGATCCTCGATTGCACCCGAGTGTTGGTAATGGATATTTGGCCACTACAGTTTACAGCGACACGGTTTACGTGTCTGGGATCTTCAACGGGAGGGGGACACAAAGCCCGAGTCACAGAGCGAGAATTCCTTCGACGTCGGCGATCGTCGTACGAACCAATATCTCCTCTAATGCCACTGACGAGCTCTTCAGCCTCAATGTGGCAGAAGGAGTGTTCTATCACCGGCTACACATAGATAACTTCACCTTGGAACAGCGAATTTATGCTCATCGCGTTTATCAGCATTTGCTTGTCACGGAGATAGCCTGGCAAAACAACATGCATGACACAGTCAGTTTGTTTATGAGCAATGTATATGGACCGCCGAGCGTTGATATTGATTTCAAAAGAGGCGATTTTTCGCGTCAATCTCGGGATGACCCCAAGATCAATTCCATGTCTGGGTACATTAAGATAACAGAGGAGCCGATCAGTCCGAGGGAGGGGGTGGCGGTTGTTTGGGGAGATATACCCCCCCGTTTAGACATCCCTCCTTCCTCGAAGACTCAAACCTATTACTTCATCACGGCAATAGCGACCAGTTTAGACGCCAAGGATTTCTTGACAAGCGCCCACCAGGCTTATACGGAGGCTATGGAACAACCGGAAACACTCCTCGAGAGTCACATTCAGGCTTGGAAAGAAGTTTGGGACGCTGGAAGCATTGAAGTGGAAGGCAATCTTACACTGGCCCAGTCAGTTTCCGGGAGTCTTTATTACACACTTAGGTAACCTGAACACTACATCCTGTTCTTTTTATGTTTACTATTGTTTTTTAGGCTAGAAGGCTTAAATGTAATCCTTTATTATTGAATTAAGGCGATATTATTTTCGATAATGCTTGTTAAAGTGTTAGACTGCAGTAGGAAATTTCACTTGACCGTTTTCCACCGTGGTTTTAGCTCTTAACAAACTATTTTTTTCTTTTTATTTGCCCAATTTGAGTTCATTCAATCGAAGATCAAATCAAAACCCAGTGAGATGTAACAATCCATAAACATTTCCCTCTGTAACTCGTAGAGGTGGATGACGTATAACTCCTCGATCCTAATGCAATATCAATCCTATTGATATCCAGCAAAACTGGATTCAAACCAACAAACCTTTCAGGCTGTCATCCTGATGAAACACAAACTTCTCCTAACTCTTTTACAAGGAAAAGCGTGGTTATTATGAGTAGAATTACTAATTAGATCTTGAGAGTTGAGGATATTCAATCAACGTTAGTGTCAATTAAGTAGGTAAGACCCTTCAGTTGCTTAACCCATCGATATCAGCTTTAATTTCTCACGAAAAGACGTTTTCTCGTGATAAGCCTCTCCGATCTTTAATCTCCAAACCCGTAAGAGTGATTAGCATCTAATTTCTCCTTACATATCACCCCTGAATAAGTCGATAAGGTTACGAGAATAGAGGAAATGATCACTAAGCACCTTAGGAAATGTTTGTAGTAGGATAAAGTGTAGAGGGTTAAAGCCCCCCCTCCCCCTCCCCCTCCGTGCCTTATTCCTTCATACAGACGCCTTAAAAGGAAGGGTTTTGCGGGGGGGGGCGGGAAGGGGGGGCTGACATTGCCGTAAGGAAAAAATGACTTATGCGACAAAAGTTCGTGGTAAGAGAGCAATTTCAAAAAGCAAAATGTCACGGAATTACAAGATAGACTATGCTTATGGTTGCGTGTGATATTAAACGTGCCAGCGTTCCAATTTTTTTTGTGTGTGTGTCCACCCATATCCAATTAGATTGGTGCCTTTTTTGAAAAACCTTAAGAACATTAGGAAAATCCTTTAATCCGATAAGTGAACTCACTGGAAAGAGTAGGATCATGATTTTCTCTTTAAAGCGAAACTTCAATCACTGTCATGGGTTAATAGATAAAATGTCGAGCCTTGATAAAGCGTAACGGAACACCTAAGCTGACTCGGCAGTTCATGATGAAGGCCGTGTGATATGGCCGAAACGTCAATCATTCTTCTATAATTTTCCAGTATTTGAATTATTTTCTCTTTATCTTATTCTCAACTGGATGACTGATACAATTCATAACCTAGACCCAAACTCGACTAACGTTACAACTTTGTAAGGAGTGAGTTTTACAATCGTGATCAGCAATCAATTTTTTTTCGTCTTCCAGCTCCCTTCGTCCCTCGAGGATATTCGGTCTGAGTCCCGGAGGCCTGGCTACTGATGGTTATGATGGTCACGTGTTCTGGGATCAGGAGACGTGGATGTTTCCCCCGCTTCTCCTTTTACACCAAGATTTGGCGCGGACGTGTCTCGCCTACAGGTTTGAGCGACTCCAGGCAGCTGAAGAAAAGGCCAAGAAATATGGATTCCAAGGTAGTTAACGAGGAAATGATTCCGTGTAACGTATACCAACTAAAAATGAAACAACTGAAGGTTTTCAGATTCCAGACGTGACCTCCTCCACAAGTTAAAGAGGAAAAAAAATTGAGCTTCTTTGCTTCTTTGTTTCCGTATCATTCGTGAGCATGTGCACCTTTTTGCGTTAAAATCTCATTTTTTAAAATCTTTTTATAAAGGAGCTATGTTCCCATGGGAAAGTGCCGTAACTGGTTCAGAGGTGTGCCCCGGGGAGATTTATTCCGATTACGAGCAGCACATCACGGGCGACATTGCATTCGCAGTCAGGCAGTTGTGGATGGCATCAGGAGATCAACAATGGCTTCAGCACCAGGCCTTTCCCCTCATTCGAGCCACTGCGGAATTCTGGGCGAGTCGCGCGACCTATAACGACTCTAAAAGAGGTTACGTCATCTACAACGTTATGCCACCGGACGAAGATGCTGAGGTAGTGAATAATTCGGCCTACACAAACACGATCGCGAAACTAAATCTCGAATTCGCCTACGAGGTCCTACCGAATGCCTCCGAAAAGTGGAAAACGATAGCACAGAATATGTACATACCGTTTGATTCTACAAACGACTATCATCCCGAGTACGATGGGTACCGAGGGATCGAAGTTAAACAAGCCGACGTAATTCTACTCGGATATCCACTAATGGTAAACATGAGCTTACAGTTACGACAAAATGATCTGAGTTTCTACGAGCCCAGGACGAATCCGCGGGGGCCCGCCATGACCAAATCTATGTTCGCTATTAACTGGTTGGATATCGGGGAAAATTCTAAAGCGGAGAAGTCATTCAATGCTAGCTACGTAAACGCGAAGGTTCCCTTCATGGTTTGGACCGAGGGAGCGGACGGTGGAGGTGCTGTGAACTTCATCACAGGAGCAGGTGGATTTCTTCAATCCATTCTGTCCGGTTATGGCGGACTGCGTCTACGCAATGAAAGACAACTTCAATTCAACCCCAAGCTTCCACCCGGGTGCACGGGATTAAATTTCGTTGGAATCGATTACCATGGAAACAGCATAGACTTTGTGGTTGGTTCATCGCATTCGCAGATTATCGTTACAGCACGTCAAGAATCAGCCCCTGTTCTCCAGTTGACTGTTCTCAGTTCACAGGAGAAGTATCGTTTAAAGATTAGGGAGAAAATTAAAGTGTCCAATGAACCAATCATTATAAACCCTCTCAACACCAACGAAGTAATCTGGTAACAAGTTTTCGTGAACACAATATTGACTTGAACAGTCAACGGATCCTTCCTTGAATTATCAAATGGAGATCACATACACCAGGAAGCAACAGTTTCATAGCAGGATTTCGCCAAGACAATTTTATCCTAAATGCTTATTAGAGGATAAGCTGAGTTCCACGCGTAATATGATCGATTCTTACTTATGCTCTAATGGAGCACAGTCGCATAGATGATATCACCGCTGATATTTTGTTTATGATCATATATAACAAATAGATATTCCATGATGCCGCGGGTCTGTACAATAACAGATCATAGAAGACGGGAAAATGTGATAAGAACATCCGTGACGCATTCGGCTGCGCCTCTGCGACACTTTTTTGTTCTTACTACATTTTGACGTCATCGGTCATCTACTACTTATCAGACGTTCGGCAACGTGAAATTTATTTGTTAAAAATTTCACGGGCTTGTTCTTGGGGATTTGCGAAATAGTTTTGAGAACAACGCCAGCCTCTGCAATGTTGCGCACGTTCCCTGTCACCAAAACACCTGGAACCAATACTTCACGACTGTTCTCCGCAAAATAGTATTTAATGGCGACTGTAAGTGACTACACTGGTATACAACTCTGCTAAATAAATTATATGATAATGGCTAACATAACACTTTTTTCGGAAATACAATACAATATAATATAAGGCTAACTTGGCGTCACATTTACAAATCGGTCATTGTTCAACCAGATATATTACATATAAACATTTCGGATTTCAAGTTTAAAAGTTTAGACAAGTTATCAGTAGAGTAAGAACTAAATGCGTCCGTTATTTTGTGTATGAATGAGAACAAATCGGTAACGTTCGGTGAAAAAATTTCAAAATGCGCGCGAGTATGTATAACAAGCATCTGCCATAGCCTTGACCGACTGAAAAGCACGTAAATAACTTCCATATCAAGGGAAGCACCCGATATAACTCTTCGGGTTTTTATAAATTAAGGGCCAAGCCTACATATACAGTAGTAAACCCGTTTACACTGGATAAAATACACCCCGTATACAAAATTGGACTTCTCTGAAAGCTATAAAACTAAATTTCGTTCATTTGATCACTTCAATAACTAAAAGCAGCTGGCTAGCTGAGCAGCGCTATCTTTTGGAACTGCTCCCTCGAGGCGAATTGTGTCCTTTGGCGATCTTTTTAAACATTTGTTTTCCTTTGGAAAAGATTCCCTTCTTCTTTTTGGGCGTGTCATCTGGAACGCTGTAAGTACCATTGGGTGAGTTATACTTGTCTGAGGAATCCACGGGAGACTCCTGAAAAAACAAATGTGACAGTTTTTGCTTACTTCATAATACGTAGTTACGCGACACGTTGATGTAGCGGAAGACAACTGAGTCGTTTCCTTCCTTTAGCGGATGGCCACTTCCACTTGAAAACTTGAAAGGAGCTATGTCACGTTTTGTATATGTAAGTACATGTAAGAACAATCAGCTTGAGTTTTTCACGTTCGTGTCTCGCTTTGTTCAACCTGAAGGTAATTTTGTAGGTAATAAAAATAACATGCCACTGCTCCTTTAAAAAAAAGGTCAATGAAGAACCGTGTTTTATTTGAAAAAAAAAATGGTTTTGGGGTAGAAAAGTTTGTATAGAAGAAATAACTCTGAAGGTTTGACGGTAGTTTCAGCAGATTGTATTGTTTTCGACCACCAGTTCTGTGGTAAATGTAGTCATTGATGAATGAATCTCCGTCAAAAACAATGTTGCCAAAGTTTGTAGATGAACCTAAACAGCAAACCATCCCATTCCTGTAAAGAGCGTTTTAACATGCAGGTAATGAAGTTAACATTTCTGTTTAAAAGCCCCACTGTTCACCCAATGAACAAAGCCGCTATTTTGTGGCCGAGAGCTCTCTATATTACTAATTATATATTTTTGTATATTTTTTGGTTAGGGTAGGGGTTGCATTACACAGGGCTAAAACAGGGTCCGATCTGGTTAAAACACGTTCGGAAATAGTTTACTCCTGTATATCACTATCGCGTGAACAAAATTGGATTACTCTTTTTAAAAAAAATTCAACTTTCGAGAGGTAAAATGACTATCAAGCGGGATAAAACATTTCGAGTAATAGAAACCGAGGAATTTCAGACAAAAGTAAACAAACCCTGTTTTAAAAGAAAGATGTTAAATTCAGTTTTGAATACTGCTACGGACAGCAGTCTGAATTCATAATCTTTTTTCACCCTGTCATAGCATGCGTAGAAATAAAAGATTTTCACAGATACCGTACTGAGGAATAATTAGTTCAATGGTATGCATAAACACAAAAACAACAAAAGTAAACAAAACGTACGCGAAAAAACGGAAAGGGAAAACAATACCAAAGAACACGGTGAAAAGAAAACAATAGAAAATAAAGATTGGAAAAGTAAAAGTGAGTGAACGTAACAGAGAAGCCAAAATTAACAAAATGACACAAAAGAAAGCAAAGAAAAGTAAAAATATCAATACAAAGAAAAATATGGCGTTTCACTTTATAATAGACAGGCTAGTAATGTCTTTTTTTTTTAACTATTCAGCACGACATTTTATTCTAATGGTTACCAGCCTAGTTTTCTTGAGTGACTTCACAAGCAAGTATTGAAGTTTTCTGCCGTTCTCGTTAACGTTAAAGTTAATTCCCTACAACATGAAAAGTGTCTATAGTACTAACATAAATTGAGTTTTTCCTTGCCGCTGTTCCAAGGTCGTTCTTCACTTCAGATAACAGTAAAATGCGAAGAGTCCTAGCGGTATGATAGTTAAAACACTTAACTGATAAGTACTGTTAGAAGGCTTCAGAACATCAACAGAACAGGGAAGAGTTATGTGAGAATTCAATCAAACACACTGGTACTATTTACGTGCAGTCAAAGGAAATCGATTGAGTAGGTTTAGCAAACCAACAACCAAGAACCAGATTATGCAGAATTAATTTCAGCTCTTCATCAGCCAATAAGGATATGTTGAGTTGCTTAGCAACGGGTCATGAATGAGAAGCCAAGGGCTTTCTTCGACTGCATTTGATGAAAACGTCAATCTCGAAGGAATCTTTCGTGTCAATTTAAGGGCAAGTTGAGGGCAGAGTTAAATCAGTTGACTACATTAACGTGAACAGGTGTCACCGAAAAAAGGAAAGCCCAAGCGCAAGGAAAGAGGGAAGGAGCCATTCTAAGGGTAAAGAAGAAACATGCACAGAGATCCATCTGATAGGAAAGAATAAAAGAATAACATTACTGAGACTAACACAACACAACACAACACAACACAACACAAAAACAGGAGGAAGTAGTCATGGTTGAAACAGTAACAAAACTCAAGTCACGTGACTTACATAGCTGTCGTTACTTGTGTCGGGGTGAGACTCCTCCATCGGATCAGACAAACTTTCGAGAAAATTCGAAGGCACCAGTCCCCGAATTCCACGAAGCTCACCCTACAAAAACACAGGGTAAGAAACAAATTCTGTATAAACCAAGTTGCCTTACTGCAAATTACAGGTCAGTGTTGAATCAATTTCCAATTGACAATAAAAAATAGTCCTAGGTCACTATGGTCTTGCTTTCTTCGCACTGTGATTGGTTCAGAAACCAGAGCCATCCCCTCAACCAATCAGATTGAAAACTAAAACCGTTCATGACTTGATCGCCCGCCTTTTCCCGCGCTTTAAGCAGTTTATTTATTTTTACTGAGCGTTCTCCTTGTCTCCCCGCGATATTTTCCTTTCTGCAGAGAGGGTTTTGTCATTACTTTGGTTCTACGGCACTTTATCGAAACGTACTCTGTAAATAAATCGTGATTGCATTGGTTATGATTAATTTGCTCTGTGATTGGTCAAGAAAACTCAAGCCACTCTTCAGATAAAATTAGGTGCCACACTTAGACTATCGTGACTTAGTTGATGCCATTCTCCTGCGCTTCAGGCACTTTGCTCTTACTGTGCGTTTCATTACATTCATGCGATATTTGGCTCTTTTCTTTAACACCCTTACGAAGATTTTAACTTTGGATTCACGCTACTTGATCGTTTTCACTAGTTCTGTGACGCACTTTTGAAGAAAGGATGACATATTGAGGTGAAATGAACCACCGTGGACCCAAAAGAGTACAAAAATCTACCGATACTTGTTACTGCGCCACTTACTGTAAAGAAACCATCCTCGTCCATATCACCGTATACATAAATTATATCACCAACTCTAAACTTAAGTTCAACCTGACAAACAAGAACGAAAAGTGTAAGAAAAAACTGGAGACACAACTTTGCCACTCAAACCGTAACGAACGGTATGTAAATCTAATAGTGTAAAATTTATTTTACCAACGTAAACAAACATTACAACAATACACTTCATTCAGCCGACGTAGATACTTGTTCAAATACACTGAGATCTCTTTCATTAGACCTTCACTCCAGCCAGAAAGGGCTGGTCGTCATAGAAAGGTGGCTGTCAAAATAAATAAGGTTGCAAAATAAGGAAAAAACTGAACTTCCAAATTGTAAGGACCAGAAGCGGTCATTTCAAGATGGACGTCGTATTACTGACACACAAACCAAAGTAACGAATGAGAATGCAAATCTTCTGTGTAAAACCTAGTCGCCTCATAACATTTTGAAGACTACCTGCGAGAGACAAGTGGTGCATCATTTTCCTTCCAACCACCAATGAGATGATTCAGTTGTATGAAAGGAAAAAAAAAGTGTCCTGATCAACTGCTGTTCTTACCTCACTATCAGGGTTGGGCGACAGAGTCTGTGGATCATAATCAAACAGAGCTACCATTCTCCTGGGTGGCAGCTGATAATTGTCACTCGCTCTCGGGTCCTCAAATTCTTCGCCATCTTCTAGGATTACTTCCTCAAGCAATTTGTCAGACGCGTTAGAAGCGGCTTCGGTCTCCTCTGCACGGGAAGCTTTCTCGAGGGACTGGGGCTGAGTGTCAGATTCCTGGGTCATGCTCAGGTAAGGCGCCGTGACATTACTACCGGACTCTTCGTCGTCCAGAGGAACTTCTGATACCATGTTGAATGGAATATACCCCGCTTTCCCGTTCAGTTCGCCCCAGTAAAAGCCATCTTCATCCTTGTCGCCGTAAACCTGACAAAGTGAGCGATTAAACAATCAACCAAATTATGTGCGGCTATCATTTATGGGAGATTCCAGGAAATATTAACGAATTTGGCCGATATAAACAGCTTGTTGTCTAACGGGCTGCATATGAAGGCACTGGAAATCCAAACGGCTTCAGTCGTCAACAATAGTGTCAGCTCAAAGCCGGGAAAAAAAGAACTTTATTTACTTAGCGAATACACTTTGCACAACGCCTTAAAAATCAAAACTTTTGTGACAAAAGGAGTGCTTGACCTCATACTCGTCATCAAAATGAAAACTCCTACCTAATCTTACCAAGTCCCTCTTCCTACCTTTATCAAGTCTCCTTCATTGAACGTCAGCTCTTCCTCTTCAGCATCGGGATTCGGTGACATCGTAGCAGGGTCATAATCATAAAGGGCTAAGAACACACGCACTTGCTCCTCCGAAGCCCCTTCGCCCACGTATCCTTGATCAGAAGGCGCCTGTCCCTCCGCAGAGGGCGCAGCTTTGTCATACGCAGGATGTTGAGGTATTTCTTCCCGTGTCATTCCTTCCCCATACTGTCCATCCAGCGGAGTCAAACTCGTTTCTAATCCACCTCGGTCTGCCTCAGTGTCACTGTAGGTGATGTCGATGCCATCGTTGTCCACCAATTCTCCTTCGCTTTCTGAAAGCTTTATGTTATCCACAAGTCTGTAAGGTGAATCGTGAGCAGCGGTTGTTCTTAGCTGGTCACTGTTAGCTAAATATTTTCCAAAGCCTTGACTCTCAGACGTTTTATTGATGTTCACCGCCGAAGGACCTTCTCTTTGCGATACTTTACAACCGCTTTCGAAGTCGACGCGTCCTGACGATTGATCCCAAACTTGCTCATCGTCGAGTAAATCCATGACATCATCGTCGCTCTCGAAACCCTCGGAGGCCGAGTGTGAGCGCGGAAAATGTATCTCTTCCGACAAGTCTTCCTCGTCTTCTTCCTGAATTATGGAAAGCGGGGCCTGTTCGCTTGATTCACTTTCAAAGTCACTCTCGTCATACTCTAGTGGCCTAATGTAAGGCATTCTATCCTCGCTCTCCCTCCCCTCGGGACTTGTTCGTTGAATATTTTGCGCTTCTTCCAATGACTGTCCTAATTCTTCCATGTCCAGGTCACTTTCCAAAGACGTTCCGCTCTCCTTTCTAGTTCTTGAAGAATTCTCTTGCGTTTCTGACACTTCTTCGCCAGAAAGCGCTTGTTTTTCTTCAACAAACTGTTGCTCGTCCTCGGGAGCTCCGGTTTCCGCTTCGATGTCATCGTTACTCTAAACACAAGAATCACAGGACATGTAATTTCCATCACAACTTCAGTAAGTAATTCGGTAACCCGTGACAAGTTATCTTTACTATTTTGAGAGACCAAGCCAGAATTACCCCTTGTAATATCAAGTAGATAAGTGATGAAAATAGAGAATAAATATAAAATCAGAGGATTATTAACTAAATCAATAGCAAATTCTCAGTACTAAAAGCATACGAATTATGAGGCAGACAGTGAGAAGAATTACGAATGAGATCTTTGAAGTGAAAGGCTCATCCAATTTACAAGAAATGTATGATACTCAGAACGAAGAATTACATGACCAGATGTTGTGAGTTGAAAGCGACGGTGCTCTAACCGAAGGCTTACGAATAAACGTTTGAAGTCGTTGGTCAAACAACCACCGTAATAAAAAAAAAACATTCATATATTTCTTCCAACAGAGTATGCTGGTATTGCCCCTTTCAACGTAGAAAATGGTAAGATTAAAGAAAGATTATTTGCGATGTTTGCTCTACACTTCTGCTGATTATCTTATACGCTTCACAGACCAACGCTTACAGTATATGCTTAGAATACATGGATGGTCAGGCGAAATCATCAAACACAGTCGACATATAAATCCGCAAAGAGATTTCCCTTTTAATTTAACCGCCTCCCGGTTAGCTCAATTGGTTGAGCGCCGGACTGCTGTGCGGGAGGTCGAGGGTTCAAGCCCCGGCCGGACCAACACTCAAGGTCTTAAAATAACTGAGGAGAATGTGCTACCTTTCTATAACATCAAGAAATGGATAGACATTCTAGTCTTCTCGGATAAGGACGAATAAACCGGAGGTCCCGTCTCCTGCATCTATTAATTAGTTAATTTGGTTAGGCAGGGAACGTTAAAGAACCCACTCACGAGATAACTGTGATGTGGTCTGGCCTGTTTACTGGGAATTGGGGGGGAGGGGGCATCTTGATTCAGATTGTAAATTGCTTAGCAGTCTGGTACAGTCCCCCGCACAGTGTTGTAAAGCGCCATGAGCTCAGGATATGAGCGCTATATAAATAAAAGTTATCATTATTATTATTATTGTTTCCATCTAGTTCGAGAAATCAGTGCTCCAGTTTTCTACTATAGGTTGTTAAACGAACCACGTACCAAAGAAAACACACAAAAAAAAGAAATAAAAACCCAACTTTCCGTCAACAACTAAAACATTAAGAGAAGCAAATAGGTACCTCTTCAAGCCGTTGATATCCTTGTTCTTCCACATTCACTACAGTCTTTGTGTGAACAGCTGGCTCCTTATCGTCCGAATCGTCTGGTATACAAATCTCAACTTCTTCATCGTCTTCGTCTTCGTCTTCGTCTTCGTCTTCAGATCCACTTCTTCCTTCGCTTTTCGTGATACTATCCGCAGTTTCTGATTCATCTTCGGCCTCGTATTTCCATACAACCGGTTCTCCCTTGGTTCGGGGCTGCGCAAGAGGACCAGAATCGTCCTTAGTATGTTTGGCAATGTCTTCAACTAAAACTACCTGTGGCTGTCCATTCTCGCCCATACTGAAGCGTCTTACGCTATCGGCTCGTTCCCTTGAACCGTCAGAAACCAGCTCACCATTCGCCAAGTTAGCTGAGCCTTCGTGGCTTTCGTAATCTTCGACAGCAGATATTTCTAGCAACATATCATTTCTCTGTGATACCTGCTCAGTTTCTTTGGGTTTTATAACCTGATTTACCTTGAAGTTAAACATATCTACGGGCAGGGCAACTTCATTTGAATCCGCTGACTCGCCCTCACAAGACTGAGTTCTGACAATAACACGAAGATCACCGCTGTCACTTCTCTTGCTCCCCCGTTCGACCATCCATGACACGGCTGTCACGCAATCTGCTGTAGGAGATGTGACTTCCGTACATAGAAAGCCGTTGATGTAAACTTTGTATCCTGTCACGCGAGCGCCGTTTGAGGTACCTTTGTTTGTAATTGTCACTGGAATCCAGTTGACATCAAGTGAGTTTGATTGGCCTGGGGTAGCTTCCACATCGAGAGGGGGATCTGGCAGACCTTGAAAAAATAGCAATAGCTAAGTACACAGCCAGGGTACATAGCAAGGGTACACCCATACGCGAAAAAACTGCCTGTGAGGATCTTCATTAATTCATTATCTAAGGAAAATTTAAAAATCATCATTGTATTCAGCGCATTCATTAACAAAAGACGCCGGAAAAAATGGATTGTGAAGCCATTCTCAGTCTCCTTACAGGCAACGTCAATTCTACGAACACTATTGAAGCAGATTAAGTGATTCTAAAAGGCGCTATTTCATTTTAGGACTAGACAGTGATTGACATCGATGTCAGGTTGGTCAACTTTCACGATATCACTGAAGCGGAGATCCCAGTATGAAAAACTGTATTTCTCAGCCCAGTGTAAGGTGTGGAACAAGAACTTAACATAGAGCGATATCATAAATTCCTTCGATATGAGCACACACTTCAAGTTCTCCTTGGAAAGCCCACTAGTCAAGGCTAAAAGAGGTAGAAGTAATAAAGCACTATTGATAAACTGCTCTGGTTCTACTTTGCTTCGCTCGGTGATGGGTCAAATATCTCGCGCCATCCTTTCGATCAATCATGCGCAGAATTAAAAATAATCGCAACTTGGTCCTTCGCTCCTCTGGCAACCCGGTTGTTTCTTGCCTCTTGCGGTATTTCCCTTGGTTCTAACCAGTCGTTGTTAGTCCGACAACACCCAATCAAAAAGTGCTCCGGCACCCTGCTCTTTAAAAATATCACTATTTAGAAAAGGTTTCTTAACCTACCTCCTGGTTCAGTTCTAAATTCTGCTTCAGCTGTCAACAGATCGACTTCGATATCCCCTTCACGATCGGCAATTGACACTCGCTTGGGATCCTTGGCACGTATATGAACCTTATACAACTGATCCGGTTCAAGATTACTGATTGTGTGCTGGAAGGTTCCAGGGCGAACTGTTCTATAGAGGTCCCCATTGAGAAGGATTTCGTGGCTCAATGAACTGTTGCCAGGCGACCACTCAATCTTCGCTGACGTGGGAGAAATGCACGTGACATGCACGTGACTGGGAGCAAAGTTTGCGTCTAAAGCAAGAAAACAAAGAGTTGGGAAAAACTTGACGAACCTTAAGAGAAAAATGAAGGATAAACTTAACCACGAGGATTCCCTATTCCCATTTAATCCGACTTGTCGATGTGCTAAAGCAGGGCTCGACACTAACGGTAGCCAACTAGCCAGACTAGTGGTTTTCGATTTCCACTAGCCAGTTTAAGCCATTACTCCGAACGTTTGACTGTTGCATAGAGCTAACCTTTGCCAATAGTCACTACAGCTGAGCGGTCTGATGATTCCTCTCCCTGGGTTGTGATGGTGCGTACAGAGATGCGGTATGTCTGATGCAAGAAGAAAACAAAAAACTTCAACTTTGGCCTGTAACTCTCAGAAGCAACTAAAATGAAATTTATAAAGGCTGATAGTTTCGAAAGAAACTGTTTGGGGCTGCGTCGGTGGGAGTAACGAAATAATTTGGATATATCAACAAAGTTGAAATGGTAAATTGGCCACCGTAATGATTACAAAAGCTGACGTTTCGAGCGTTAGCCCATTCGCTCCGACGAAGGGCTAACGCTCGAAACGTCAGCTTTTGTAATCATTACGGTGGCCAATTTACCATTTCAACTTTGTTGATATATCCAAATTAAAATGAAATTTGCCTTTACGAAATCAATGCATCATCATGTAATTAAGTAATACAAAGCACATTTTTTAGGGCTCTATAACGTGATAAAGCCACGCGGGATGTTACGAGAACATGAGAAAAGCTTCTAAATCACAAGCTGAACTGGAATTCATGTTGAAACTAGAAAACATTTCAAAAAGAGAGCTTGAACCTAAATACCTCCCTTCGTTTTCTTATTGCCCTTTCATCTACTACTGAAAATAATCGACACGTACACACACATTCAGCAACTTCCCGAAATTGAAAACTATTCAACTCCAGTCAATAGTTTACTGCACTATCATTTCCGTTCATGTGCAATAGAAGAATAGTTGAATCTTACCTCCTGGGGGTCAATATCTTCCAGAAGCGCCTTAGTCTTGTTGCTTCCTTTGATCATAAGTCGTAGCTCTCCATTCGCATACACACCATAACCTTTCACTTGGTCTGCAGACAAATCAGCGGGTTTCCAGCTTAGGAGCACGCTCCGGGTAAACTGACGCTCAAGGTGGAGTCGCCTTGGGGAGGGAACTCCTGAGATAACAAAGTAGGACAGAAAGAAATCAGTGTCAAAGCAGCTGCATGTCCAAACATACTTCTGTGAAGGGGTAAGTTTGTTGATAAACGGTGGTGCTGTGTCAGGGGGGGGTTTACAAGATCATTTGGTTTTAGCAACTGAGTTGATAATGTAAGGTGACGTTTCGAGCTTTAGCCCTTCGTTAGAGCGAAAGACGGGACTGACTCCCGAAACGACTGCTTTAGAAACTCTTTTCCTTGGCTAAATTACATTATCAACTCAATTCATAAAAACCGAATCATCTTGTAATACATATAAGAGGCTTGTTTAAAACAACGCATTGTTCCCATTTAGGCATCTCAACCCATCGCAATTGTTCGGTTTCCTCTCTTGCTTCAAGTAGAAAATAGCTCTGAATGTAAAAATTAACTACTACGATATACCCAGATAAATAATTATGCAACAGGGAGGGTAGTCCACAGCACGGCCTAACAATGGCATGACTTACTGCGAGGCATTATATCAATCTCGTCACTCGTGATTCCATCCTGGTTAAATTCAGTTTCTTTCGAACCATCCTGTTCATCAAATTCATTTTCAGAGTCATGTTCCCCTTCTGATTCCTCCTGCATATCCTCTTCATCTTCTTCCTCAATGTCCTGTAGTCCAACATCGGGGATGTGTTCCACTGACAAGCGTAACGCACGATGAAGTTTACCTGACGTGACAAACAAAAAAATGTCACGCACTAATCACAAACAAAGCATTAGGCTATAGGAATGCATTTAATTTTATACCTGGAAGTACCAATAAAATTGTAATAAGAAAAAGCCGGTATTGATATGTTTAAAGCGTGTTTACATTGAACAATTTACTTTCTGTGCGGAAGTAACTTAAATCCTGCATCTTTAAAAGAGAACGTAGCAACATTTACTCACTTAAAAGCGAATGTACCAAAAACTACCAAAAAAATTGCTTAATAGTTATAGAGATGACCATCAAAATGGTAACTTCTTTAATTTAAAGAAGATTTTCTCTAATGATAATTTGCTCTTCGTACCTTCAGGAAAAAGTGGTTATCAAGTAACACTTTTAAAATATTATCCACAATTCTGTTTTTTCCCTTCAAACTGTCCTATCAAATTACATTTTTGGGGAATGTACTCTTTGAGAAATGTGTTTTGATTTAAACGTTTATTGTTTAGTTGATGCGTAAAGGTACTGTTTTCTTACAAAATCTTAAAAGGCTACGTTAAATAAAATGAACATGAGATTTATAAAGCAGTCTATTGACTGCCAGAGATTACCAGAGAACTTAAGCATGCGCACTGGTTTCATCTGCCGCTCGCCATTTTCTCCCGGCATTGCAAGTTCGGTTTCTCCACCTTCCGAGAAGCTTTCCTCTTCTGATATCAGCAATATAGGTATCGTTAGTTTTAGAGCACGTATGAGCAAACAAGCGTATGAAGAACATTATATGAACAACCCAGGAGTGACTGGACAAAACTATTTAAGGATAGGACACCTCGGCGGTGACATTAAGCAAATCGAGTTAGTGAGCGCCGTAAAACAGATCATTATTCACAACGTTTCAAATGGTTATTGTTATCATCTTTGTTAAGGTTAGATTAACTTTACTCTTTTCTGTTTCTTTTATACCGCTACTTTGGTTAGACGACAGTTACAAATAATTTAGGGTCTTGAAACATTTTTTTAAAAAGCAGGACTGTTATTGTCGGTGAAGAAGTTAGAAAATTAACTTCGAACAAAAAACAGTTTAAGTTATTTTCAGTTTTTTTTTCCTTCTTTCTTTTTTTAGACTCTCTTTGTAATTGAAAAAAAAAAAATGTAGTTACCATCTGTTTCTTCTTCATCACTGCTGTCTAGTATTTCATCTGAAAGTTAAAGTACCAAACAAACATGCTTGTCAATGTTACGCTGTTCAAACCAGTGTCCACACTAATCCTGGGTTAACTGCTCACAAACTAACTAAACATTTCAATAGCAATTAAAAATGGATTACTACAAATCGTGCTTTCAACACCTGAATCAAACATAACATACATCGATAAACGTATTTTCAAAACGTTTTATTGGTACATCAGGCTGTCCTAAACAAAACGATACTTTAAAAAGTTAAATGTAGGTCATGGAATGCAACAACAAGATCATAGAATGTGGAGTGTCAAAGAAAACGGACAGTTATTTACAATACAGTAACAGACATTACTTTTTTTGAGTAGAAAACAGACCATAGAAGACTGAGAGAGACTGAGAGAGACTGAGAGAGAGAGAGAGAGAGAGAGAGAGAGAGAGAGAGAGGGAGAGAGAGAGAGAGAGAGAGCG